AAAAAAAAAAAAAAAAAAAACTTAGTGTTCGGTTGAAGCAAAAAATATATTTAAATTGTTCAAAAAATATTTAAATCACAATGAGTTTTTATTTTTTTAAGGATGGAAGCTTCATCCGATTTGATATATAGAAGATGATAATTTAAGCTTAAAATTTGTCTATAATAAAAATTTATAGAGCAACAACTCAATACATAATAAATTAATTGAGCTATTACTATTAGTGGAAAACATGCTCACTTAATTAGTTAACTGGTTAGACTTTAGGCTTAAATATAAACAAAAGAATACATAAATATATTATACATAGATATAGTGTGTATATATATAATATAGCCTCTGAAAGTTTAACCGGGCTAGAGCCCAGGTCACCCAACGTTTGGCTCCGCCCTTGACCACAATAATAACATCTAATCACATTATATGGACAACACATTATAAGGTCAACTGTCAATCAAAAGTTTAAAATGATTTTTGAAATTTTGAAGTGATTAGCGTGTTAATTATCTAATAATTCAATGAAGTATTAAATAAATCAAAAGTAAAGGTTTCTATAGGGAAATGGTTAAATTGCCACATAGGTAAACTTAAAATAGATTTTATTAAATGTTTAGCTAGTAATTATATAGATATAGATAGATTGCACAAAACCTAGGACAAATAATTAAAAAATAATAGTTGTAGTTATGAGAGGTAAAACATGTGGTCTCATAAATTAAAATATATATATATATATACATATATATATATATTATATATATATATATATAAGCTTATAATATCAATATAAAAGTAAGTGGGTACGTGTGGGACACTTAGAATGAGGTTTATGGAGTTTATTGTGATCGAAGGTTTATTGAGTTTATTATTATTGGATGTTTTATGGTGTAAGAGTAAGAATAAGGTTTTTGATGATTTGACTGTTAGGAATTTGTATGTGTTTGTTTTGTACGTCCTGTCGAAATTGAGTATATCGTTGTTGACATCCGAGAGAGCCGAAAGGAGGCCGAATGGAGATGATTCTTAAAGCCGGACAGGAAACTCAGTCCAAAGCGCAAGTGTCGAACTGAATTTCGAGTTAAAGTAACTGCCACGTCTGTTTGGCGTCATTCTCGAGGTCGGCACTCGCGTCCTCCAGGCAGCGGTGCCGACCTCGCTAGACGCCGACCTAAAGGAGGGGTCCTGAAGGCCTATAGAAGACACTGTGCTCGAAAGCCTATCTGGAGTCCAGAACGGTCCCTTTAGAGGGAGCGCGGGGTTCATAATTTGGTTTTACCGAGCCATTTTTATATGCTATATCAAGTCTTACCATACTCGAGATCGTGTTCGGTGTGTGCAACTGATTTGACTAGAGAAAAGTGGAAAAAATATTTGATAGATTGAAGGAAAAATGCTTATAAAAGTGGGAAAAGATATTCAATAGATTGTAAGGAAAATGCTTGTATTCGGTGTGTGTGAAAGACTGAAAGGTGCACAAAGAGCATACACTATTTGGGTTGGAAGTAGGGCTGAGCATGGGACTCGGAGAATTCCGAACCGTTCCGAAAACTGAACCGAAATCACTTCGAACTGAAAAATAACCGTTGACCGTTTGACTTTATTCGAACCGAATCGAACCTAAAAAATAATTGGTACGGTTCAGAAGATTTTACAAATATCCGTACTGAGAATCGAACCGAACCGTCACATACCGTACCGAACCGAAGAACCAAAATTAAGAACGGCATTATAAGACCATTTTTATCCGTGACCCCATGCGGTCACGACATTAAAAAACAAAAAAAAAAAAGAAAAAAAAATACAAAATTAAAGAGGGGCGCAACTTTCAGCGACCCAAGTCACAATTTGACCTTGGGTCGCGACCCTCCTGTTGATAAATATGGGACATTTGTCTTATTTTTAATGAGTAAATGTAATTTTTTAGTTAAAATAAAAAAAATAAAAAATATTGTATTTTATATTTTTTAATTATCTACAAATTGAGACCACACTTGATATATTTTGATTTAAAATTAAAATTTTTAAATATATTAAAATAAAATAAATATTTAGGTTGAGTTGGGTTATGGATAAAGATAAATTGAGTTGTAAAGTTGAGTTGTGTAGGTGGATGAGAGATAAATAATTTTTAATTGTTAGGTTGGATTGAGTTGGGTTGGGTTAGGAATAAGAATAATAACATTAGATGTGTTATTAATATATTTTATGTCACACTTGATCCTTTATAATATAGTAATAATAACTATTAACCTTCATTTAACTTGCATGCTTAGTAATACTTGATCTACAATTAAATTTTTTCTATTATAAAATAATATGAAAGGTTAAAGAATATTTTTTTAGAAAAAAAATATTATATTTTGTTTGAATTTTAAATTTTCAATATTAGTTGCACATATTTAGTTTTAACTAAAATTTTAGAGTTACTTCTAAAGTTGATTTCAAAATAAATTTTTAATATGAAGAAGTATTGATAAATGCTGGTTTTATTAAAGCATATAAAAATTAAATAACTAAAATTTAGAGCTACTTCAAAAATTGATTTCAAAATAAAATTTTCAATATGATAAATTATTGATGAATGTTGTTTTTTAAAGCATATAAAAATTAAAATATAACTAAGTAGTCATTCAAAAAAAATCTAAAAAAAATATGAAATCTCCGAAAATCCGAACCAAACTATACCGAATACCGTCCCAAATACCGAACTGAACCGAACCGAATAATCTCCGAACCGAACTGAATCGACTTCTTGGTACGGTTGCGGAGATCGAATTTTAAAATCTACGAACTTTAGTACGGTTCCAAAAATTTATCAATCTCCGAACCATACCCACCCAGGCTGCCCCTGTTTGGAAGAACAATAGCGTGACATTCGCTCCAATGTTGGGTGGTTTACGTAATTATGCAAAATCTTGGGGTGAAAAATGGGAAGACGACATCGTTGCTGGTTTCGATGACGCATTCAAAGAGTCGTCTTTATGTAGAAAAAGTCGTCTGATTTGCAATCCAATGTTCTATCTCCTATCTATCCCTTATTACTCAATTTCTCCCCTCTTTCATGCTTTTAGGACTCTCTCTCTCTCTTATTTATTCAAAACAATTCTATTTTTCTTCTTAAAACAAACATATTTTAAATCCATACATAAAAATAAAAAATAAGAGAGATTTAAGATTGACAGAATAAGATGAAAAGAGAGTACGCAGCAGCGGCA